AAGAGCTTCACCTCCGCCCCTGTTCTCATCCTCCCGGACCACAGCCAGCAGTTCGTGGTGGAGGTAGACGCTTCTGACGTCGGAGTCGGAGCGGTCCTCTCACAAGTCAATTCCAAGGATGGTAAGCTGCACCCCTGTGCATATTTGTCCAAGAAACTGTCTTCCTCAGAATGAAATTATGATATTGGGGACCGCGAACTGCTGGCTGTGAAGGTGGCCCTGGAGGAGTGGAGACACTGGCTGGAGGGAGCTTCCCAGCCATTTCAGGTTTGGACTGATCACAAGAATCTTGAATATTTAAAAACTGCTAAGAGGCTTAATGCGAGGCAGGCTAGATGGGCTATCTTTTTTAGCCGCTTTAACTTCACGCTCTCCTACCGACCAGGTTCCAAGAATGTTAAACCTGATTCCCTGTCTCGAATATTTTCTCACGACCATGTTGACCCTGAACCCAAGACCATCTTACCTGAAACTTGTTTTGTTGCTGTGCTTTCTTGGGAGGTGGAGGGTAAAGTTAAGGCGGCGGCCGAAGCTGTCACCATTCCCTCGGAGTGTCCTGACGGCAAGCTTTTTGTGGTTCAGCCCCTCAGGGGGGAGGTGATTCATTGGGCTCACACTAATAAGACTGTCTGTCACCCTGGTATCAATAAGACATTATTTGTGGTGACACAACATTTTGGTGGCCTAAAATGGCTCAAGATGTTACTGATTATGTCAATGCTTGCTCTGTGTGTGCCAGTAATAAGGTTTCTCACCAGAAGCCCTCAGGAGAACTCAGGCCCTTGCCCATTCCTCAACACCCCTGGTTCCACATCTCCATGGACTTCGTCACGGGGCTACCCCCCTCTAACGGTAACACTGTGGTTCTGACGGTAGTTGACAGGCTGTCTAAGATGGTAAATTTTATTGCTCTTCCCATACTTCCCTCAGCTAAGGAAACGGCTGAGGCCATGATGTTTAATGTTTTTCGGATTCATGGTTTCCCCAAAGACATTGTTTCTGACCGTGGCCCTCAGTTTATCTCGCGGTTCTGGAAGGAGTTCTGCAGCCTGCTTGGGGCCACTGTCAGCCTTTCTTCCGGGTTCCATCCACAGACCAATGGGCAGTCTGAGCGCCTCAACCAGGAGTTGGAAACCGGTCTTCGCATCACCGCGTCCCAGAACCCTGACACCTGGTCACAGAAACTGGTTTGGGTTGAATTTGCCCACAACACTCTCCCATCTGCCTCCACTGGTTTATCTCCATTTCATATTGTTCATGGTCATCAACCCTCTCTTTTCCCCACCATAGACTCGGAGTCCTTGGTACCCTCCGCATTGACCTTGGTGAGACGCTGTAGGAGAACCTGGGAGCGGGCCCGCCAGAACCTCCAACGGCAGTCCGACATCTACAAGGCAGCCGCGGACCGCTCCACGCTACAGAAACGGAGGGTGAGGGTGTGGTTATCCACCAGGAACCTGCCACTTCGGGTGGAGTCCAAGAAGCTCGCTCCCAGGTTTGTCGGCCCATTCCCCATCGCCAAGGTCATCAATCCGGTCACAGTCCAGCTAAAACTTCCAAGGTCAATGCGGGTCCACCCCACGTTTCATGTCAGTCACGTCAAGCCTGTCAGAACCAGTCCGCTCGTCCCTCCTACCAGGCCCCCTCCGCCCGCCCGGTTCATTGATGGTGACCTGGTGTTCACCGTCCGGAAGCTCCTGTCTGCTCGCCATCGGGGCCGGGGGGTCCAGTACCTCGTCGACTGGGAGGGCTATGGGCCTGAGGAGCGTTCCTGGATCCCGTCGAGATTCGTCATGGACCGCTCCCTCATTCGGGACTTCCATGCCACCCACCCTGATGCGCCTGGGCCTTCAGGAGCCAGCCCTTAAGGGGGGGTACTGTCATGTTCCACTGTTTGTTAAGTATTTTATTTTCTCCCTCATGTTTCATGTCTTGTCTTCCTGTTTTATTTTGTGATCACTCACCGCTGTCTCTGTTCCAGGTTCCTGTCTGCCCTGCCTCCTCCCCGTCTGTGTGCACCTGATCCCTGATTGTGTCTCCCACACCTGTGTCTAATCACTCCCCATCAGCCCTGCATATATTCCCTCGTGTGTCTTGTCTCGTTGCCAGTTCATCGATGCTCTCTGCTCACATTCCAGCGTTTTTCCTCAGTCATAGTCATAGTCATAGTGTGTTTGATCCTTGCCTGTTTTTTGACCTTGCCTTTTTGCCTCACGTCTTGGATACCTCTGCCTGGTTTGTACAGCTTCCTTGTGTATATACCGCTGCCTGGAATAAACCTTGTTTTACTGTGTTTAACCGGTCTGAGTCGTGCATTTGAGCCCTGCCTTTTCTCTGCCAAAGTTCATGACATCTACCTTGTTTTTATCCCATTTGCCAATAAGCACTTGATTTTCAAAGTTTACAACTGAGGGATTTAACTGGTCTGTACTCTGGCCTTCTGTTCGTAAATAATCCCTATCAAAATTCACATCCAAAAACACTTCCACCATACAATGTTTATCAGAGAACAAGAGATCAAACTCATGAACACAGAAACCACTAGCCTTGCTCCAGACAAATGGAGAACCTATCATATAATCAATTACACTGTCTTCAACCGTGGTTGCCTTCCCAATATTCTTATCATCACCACATCTACCGTTTAATATACAGAATGTAAGATTTCTGCACAACTCTAGCAGTGCACTGCCATAATTACCAACGTCTCTGTGTTCGTCAGTTGATTTCCTTTTTAGTGGAATATTAAACATTTCCAATATCCCCACATGACATTTATTTTCGCCTGAGGTTTTATCTGGATTCCAGTTATCACCATCAGCTTCAACAAAATCGTCCCTTTCTTGGGTGTGGGCATTCATATCGCCACATATTAATAAATAATTACTTTCAGTTCCAATATCAAGAATGATTTGCCCCAGTTCATCAAACATGCCTACGTTGGAATATCTAGTTTTATATGGAGGAATATATACAGCTAAGATTACAAGATCTTTGTCATATTTGAGCAAATGCTTATTTATTTTCAGACATACACATAAGTCACTATTTATCAATTTTTACACACATTTATCAACAATTTTTTTTACTCACAGCAATTATCACTCCACCAGAGCGCCAGTTTGTGTACTTGTGTCTGTTGCTAATGAATATTTGGAAACCCATCCTTTTGAACTTGTCCAGCAACTCCATTGTGTCAGTATCATCAGTTTTTGTCTCACTGAAGCACAATATATCATAGCTTTTACAAGTCTCAACAAAATCAGGAGTCTCTAACTTACTTCGGATCCCACAGACGTTCAGGGTAAGAATCCGCAACCCAGTGTGATGCGCCCTCCTAACACCGGGTGAAGATGCGGTTTCCTCTGTCTGTGCTCCGTATCTGTCCTACACGTCAGTGCCAAAGTCTTTATAATCCACACAGTCATATCCTATCTGGAACAGGTCATCAGGGGTGTGGATTGTAACATATCGGCCGTCAAGTTTACAGATGACTCTGCCTTCCCTGATAAATGTGTGTTGGCATTTCTCCTTAGCATACCAAAAGAGCCTATATCTCAGATGTGTGAGATCATCGCTGATGAAGATACCCCTGTGCTCTTCCTTTTCCCTCAGCGTTGATTTATTCCTCATCAATTCCGCTTTTTTCCTCCTGCTCACGAATCTGACAATTGTAGGTCTGATCTTGCCTTGCTTTTTTGTGCCTCCCAAACGGTGTGCTGTGGAGATGTCCTTTTCGGTAACAGTTGTACCTGCTGCTGCAGCGAGTTGACACACCTTCTCCACAAGTTGGTCCTCCGTCTCTTCATCAGTTTCCTCAATCCTATTGATGCGGACGTTTTCTTTCCGACTGTACTGTTCAAGTTCATCCTCTTTATACCTGCTTTCCAATATGCATTTGTCAAGCTTCTAACAGTCCACCGATTATTCAGGACAATCTAGGCTTCTATGTGCCTGTATTTTATATTAATTTTTATATCAATGAAAAAAAAAATCTGTGTTACTAAATTCTTACATTTTTACATGTATCTCACCATAGCAAGTTGGAAGTAGACATATTCTGCCATATATGAAGAGGGGAGACTCTCTGGAATCTGGCAATATAAGAACCATGATATTGGGACATTCTGTCACTTCCCAGTTGTCCAAAACATGTGGTTTGTGCCAGGCGAACATAATTGCCAGTATTTTTTCATTATTGCAAGAAATTCCCTTGACTCATTCACAAGTCAAAAAATGTGTTTTATTTGAAGGAAACATGCAATATTTACATCTAAGATAATAGAAAAATATATAATATTATTCCTCACTATATGAAGTGACTGATAACAAGATCTGTATAATGGATTGTAAAGAAATTTGTCAGGTTTTTATTTTGTAGACAATTGATCTGTATTTATAGCATGATGGGATGACAGCACAATAATGTGTTGGTATCATTGGAAAGCTCTGGTCCTGCGCTTTCATGTGATATGTGGCATTTCTGTGTGACCCTGCATTCATGAGTAATCCATCCAAGAGTAATGTGTGTGCAAAGCTGTATGACAGCTTTGTTATACATTATTTTAGTATAACTTTATCATTTTTTTCACTGTGAAAAAACTGGACTACCGACAAGTGCTTGGTCTTGTCGGAAAGCTATGGTTCCGGTTCATAGCTTCTTGCTATGATGAATGGTTGCGGAGAAAATCCATAGAGAAGAACAGGTGTGAATTTGGACGCACCTCTGTCCATAAAAACATATGTTGACTGTTTGTTGAAAACCTGAGGACATGCAGACGGTTTCAAAATGTATTAACCTTTCTTGTTCATTAAGCTTTCCTATAGGATGTATAGTGCAGCGTATGGCAATTGATTGCTGGCTGTAAGGTACTTTTTTCTAATGTATTCTGAGAGTATAAATCTATGGTATGCCTAGCTAATGCGTGTGGAGAGTGAAAACAAAGCTCAACAGCCTGGGGTTCAAAGGTGGTGAGAGTCATTGCACTGTCAAAGACTACCTGTGAGAGTCATCTCATTTGAGACCCTGTCAATTGCCAGCACAGCATCAGCCCCCTCATCGCAGGCCTCAATGAAGAACTTCTCTGGGGTTGTGTGCCTGGAAGAGAACAAGGCAGATACTAAAGTTGAGTTTGTCGTCCCAAGTACTTGCAGCTTGCAAATGTTTAGTTGGGTTCATCAAACAAGCACCACAATGTGCTACAGATGAGGCTTTGGGAGACTAATGTCCTCCTGCTCCAAAACAAAGGTCAGCTGCTTGTGTGGCAGCAGCATTGATGCAAGCAGCATTACATCACACTTCACTGCTTTGCAATACAAAGTTTGACATATAAATCGTTTAACTATTTCTTGGTAGATAAACTCAAGCAACATGGATAACAATATATGAAAATAAATAAAGACAAGAATTCCCTCAGAAATATCCTACAGAGGAGGATACCACTATGAATGGAGCATATAAGTATCATAGACTCTCAAATTGTGGCCTTTATTTATTTACCTCACATGCAGCGGGAACCCAGCCATTACTTGTTATTTTCCATTTTAAAAGTATATTTTCTTATAGTTAGATGTTTCCCTTTTTTATTATCTGTTCCCAATTTAATCTGACTTGATAAATTCCCTATGACGTACATTTCCACTTGGGGTGGGCAATACAAAGAAAATTAGGGTTTCAGTCCAATACCAAGTAATACAGGGTCAGAATACGATTTATGAGATGAACAATCAGTCTGCTGAGGTAACAGCTAATGATGACCAATTACAGTTTGAAAATGTAACATTAATGTAGCATTGGGAGGGTGCTGATGCTGCTTTGAACGCAACTCTCACAAGACAGTGTGAGCTTCAAGATGGCAGTCCCTGGCTGCTAGACTACCCACTAGACAAACTTTTTTCCTTAAACTTTTCTCCCCAGACACAAAACTTTTTTTTACCAATTTTTCTTCATCTGCATTTTCTGCTTTTCACTGGATTTATTATATCAAGCGAACGGACACAGACAACGCAACACCAACCGGCAAATCCACCTCCACTTCCAACAACAAAAGAATTCTACTGGCTTCACTGTCCAACTCAGGTACACCAGAGAGGTACAGAGGTAGGCAACATACTCATCTCCATTGAACATAAACTCTCCAGACTTGACAACAGAATCACACTTACAGAAATACTGCACCGTGAATTCCAAGCACTCTGCCAAAGCCTTGAATACACTCAGGACCAGATTGGCAGACTCATGCAGGAAAACAAGTCACTACAACACACAGTCAACACACTCACCACCCAGCTCACCTCTGCTCACTGTTGTACACAAAGCCATGAGAGAAACAATTCTGGACTTACAAGCAGGCAGCATGAGGGACACTATAGTTTTCACTTGCATTCCAGAACAACCTGCAGACAAATTGGGGAAAGTAATTTAATGACTTCATGACCCAACAACTCAAACTACGTTCACCGTAACACCACCAACAACCATCCCCATCCTTAGAGCTGTGCGATATGACGATATATGTCATGTGACGAGAGAAAAATGTCTATCGTTTCATATTTTGCTCTATCATTTATATTGTTGTGACGCAAATTACACTTTTTACGGCAATATTTTTCATCATTTGGAGTCTGTCCATCTTTTGCATGGATCACACTGATAAATTACTCTTCTTGGCTTTTTAATTCGCAAAGCTTTTACAGCACTTACAGTAACATAACGAGTTTAGTTGTCGTCAGCTCCACCGCTGTCTGTCTCTGCTGTGCTGCACACACTGAGGGCTCAGCCCCACAGCCCTGAGAAAGAACAGAGAAGCAGCGAGACAGCAACAACTTTTTATTCATTGGATTAAAATGTGCTATATCTGGATAGATATCGTTATCGGGATATGAAATGACTTATATCGGGATATGAGATTTTGGTCATATCACCCAGCCCTACATCCAATTGATGCCAAATTTGAAAATTACAAACCAAAACAACTGGTACAATGTCAGGGCAGGCAGCTGATAAGAACGGACTATGGACTCAATGATCACTACCCTGAAGAAATAATACAGCGCCGCAAACAACTTTACACCATCCGAAAACAAATGATGCAACAAGAACAAAAAGCAGTCATCACCATAGACAAACTTCACATAGATGGTAGGGCTGCAACGATTAGTCGACTAATCGATGACTAATCGACTATTAAAATAATCGGTGACTATTTTAGTAGTCGACTAATCAGTTTGAGTCATTTTTCATAGAAAAGTACTATAAAAGTACCCCAAAATACTCTTACTGCAGCTTCTTACGTTCAGATATTGGCAGCTTTACACACTCTCCCGTGACGGTGAACTAAAACCCTTTGGCGTGAGTATGAAACAAGACATTAGATGACGTAATTTTGGGGTTTGGGCGAGACAGACCAACATTTTTCAACATTTTAACACATTTTTCAATTAAATGATTAGTCGACTAATTGAAGAAATAATCGACAGATTAGTCGACAATGAAAATAATCGTTAGTGGCAGCCCTAATAGATGGACAGTTATACTTTGACAAGGACATAACCCCCGGCTCTTGTAAACACTCCTCCACCCCCCTGCAAATGCTTTTTCTCACCAGTTCACCACTCATATTCACGCACTGACTTCTTCCTCACCAGCAATTCAATTATATCTCACATCTCAAACTCAAATATCAACCCCATTATTATCAGTGATCATGCCCCAGTAACATTCACATGGAATACAACCAATTCACATAAACCCAAAACCAGATGGCGCTTAAATACATCCCTCCTTAGAGATCCAGAATTTGACAGTCTCATCAAAAACGAGTGGGCATCCTTCCTTGAATAAATGATCCCCAAAGTCATCTCCATCCGTTCTATGGGAAACAGGTAAAGCAGTCCTCAGAGTAATCATCATTTCACTCTCTGTTTCCAAAAAAAAAAAAAGAACAACAAGAAGAAGCTCAACTGGAATAAAAAAAAAAATCAAACGACTCGAAAAACATCTATTTAAATATTCCAACAGAAGAAGTACAGAATTAACTAGAGAAGCAATTTCTGAAGAAATTGCGGGTGTGAATGCTGCAAGCTGAAGCCACGCTGCAATGCTGCCTTGAATACAATAAAGTTTGAATGATTTGAATGTTTGAAAGTTTGTTGAAAAGCTGACGCCACACTGAATAGCTGCCTTTAATAAAATAAAGTTTGAATGATTTGAATATTTGAATGTTTTACTGAGATTTATGAAATCCAATATGGCCGCCACTTAGTGACGCCACAATATGCAAATTACATGAGTTAATTTACTCCCATCAGATTCCTCTTCCTTTATTTTGAGGACGAGATGACAAAAACAGCACAAAACAAAAGAAATCTACTGTGTAAATATGTTCAAAATGCTGTTTTACTGAGATTTATTAAATCCAATATGGCCGCCACCTAGTGACGCCACAGTATGCAAATTGGATGAGTTAATTTACTCCCATCAGATTCCCCTCCCTTTTTTTGTTTGAATACTTTCAGCATTCACACCCAATAATAATAAGAAAAATAAAGAATTTTGGTAACAGAAGAACATAGGGTTTGAATGCTTCCAGCATTCACACCCAGTAAAGAATTTTGGTAACAGAAGAACATAGGGTTTGAATGCTTTCAGCCGGGCTGCAGCCGACCACAACCAACCCCTGACCACCTCGCTTCTCACCCTCAAACAAGCCATGTGTGATGTCAGACTCTCTCATCTTTGACTTCCGGAGACCAGAGAGAAAGACATTTTTAAAACTCGTTGTGTGTTCAGCTCTCAGTAGTTTTGTAGCTTCTAACTGAATCTCTGTGGTTTGGAGTTAAGTTTCTCTCCTGCATCCTGTACTTTAGATATCTGCTTTATTTTACTGTTTATGTTCCCTATCCGCCGTATTAGAAGTTGTGTGAGGTTGCTGCTCGAAATCTCAACATCTCCTCATTTTGGTGCTTCACCATAAAAGTTTATACATAACAAAATAACACGGAACTTTTACTGTTAAGACTCTATAGGAATTAAAATATATTTATCACCGAATTAGCTAAACTTTGTTAGAGACTTTTCTTCGATTGAGACAAGTGTAATAATATGGAGATATATATTAGTAATAATATTAATAGAGTAAAAGCAGAAACAGCCACAGTGAGATGTTGATGAAGAGCTGTAGACAACAGGCTCTTACTGCACCTTTGCAAACAGCTCACCTCCAACAGGTAAACTTCTTTTACCTGCCATGCTGTGGAAAAACGCATGCAGCAAAAATAACAGGTGACTTTAGCCATGGATCAGCTTGCAACTGAACATGTAGCCCACTTAGTAGAAAATACCAGGATATATATTGTGTATCGCCATTCAGCCTGAAAATACCGAGATAAGAATTTTTGTCCATATTGCCCAGCCCTACTATGAGTCACATTCACCCACTGACACACACATTCATACACTGGTGGCCAAGGCTCCCATACAAGGTGCCACCTGCTACTCAATTTTTAACACACTCACAAACCGATGGAACAGCCATCGGGAACAATTTGGGGTTCAGTATCTTACTCAAGGATACTTCGACATGCAGACTGGGGGACAATGACTCAATTCTTAACAGTATTAATCTACCACAACTCAGCAAGGAACAAATTGACACAATTGACTCACAAATAACAGTTTAAGAACTCTCTGGTGCCCTCAAACTCATGCCTAATAATAAATCACCAGGACCCAATGGCTTCCCTGCTGAGTTCTATAAACACTTCTGACCAATTTTAACTCCGCTCTTAAATCCTTGACTAACTGTAAAAAAACAAAATTCAAGAATTCCACCAAACATGAACACAGCCACAATTTCTCTTCTCCTTAAATCCAACAAATACCCAACACAGCCAGCTAGTTACCGTCCCATCTCTCTCCTCAATGTAGGTATCAAAATCATCACTAAAGCACTTGCTCACCGAACACAAAAAAATCATCCCATCCATAATCCACCCAAAGACATTCAATAACACACATAGACTTCTCAATTTAATGGATTATTCATCACAACATCAAGCACAAACCATCATAGCCACAATAGATGCAGAAAAAGCTTTTGACAAAGTTAACTGGTCATGTCTCTTTTCCATATTACGAAAATTTGGCTTTGGGAACTCATTTATTAACTGGGTCAAAATTCTATACACTGCACTTTCAATCAATCAATCAATCAATCAATCAATCAATTTTATTTATAAAGCCCAATATCACAAATCACAATTTGCCTCACAGGGCTTTACAGCATACGACATCCCTCTGTCCTTTGGACCCTCACAGCGGATAAGGAAAAACTCCAAAAAAAAAAAAAACCCTTTTAACGGGGGAAAAAAAAACGGTAGAAACCTCAGGAAGAGCAACTGAAGAGGGATCCCTCTTCCAGGACGGACAGACGTGCAATAGATGTTGTACAGAACAGATCCACATAATAAATTAACAGTAATCCGCATGACACAA